TGGAAAGGTACAATACAGGGTGCTACGATCAGGAGGTGGGGGTCACTTGGGACTGTCTATAGATGTTTACCACAGAAACCAATCAATGAATAAATGTATTTCACATCCTAGCCTTCCTTTCAATATGCAAAGAGGTTAATAGTTCCATAACTGCTCTGACTGCTGGTTTATCATGAGTTCCTCCCCGATTTCTCAACATGTCCCATACCTTTTCTCCACCTTCTCAACTCCACTAAGCATGGGACATGGCAGTTCAGGGTGGTATTGCTCTGACTGGAGGAATTATAGCTGGTAGATAACTCAGTGTCTGTCCTCAGAAGGATCAACGATGGGGAGAAAAAGCAGTCTAAGGTCAGTTCCCCAAACCTTTTGGAGAGAACTATAAAAAGAAAAGAATTCAGGTTAATAAAGAATAGGCCAGCCTGGGACTGTAAGGAAATAAGTGTTGGTGTTTGTTACTGGCTTCTGAGAAAAGGAATCAACCAATTTGTCAATAAAGCTAAAAAAAAATGTGTCATACTATTTGACTCAGTGATTTCCTCTTAGGAGCGCATACCTTCCTGCTAGGGTCTAAATGTTTGGTTTCTCTCCAAAATGAATCTTTACAGATGATTCTTGTGAAGACTCAGGAAGAAAAGGAAGAGCTATAGAGAAAGCCTCAGTATTCTTAGAGAATGCCTAAGTGGTCTTGAACAGGATGTTGGTAGATATATGGGTGCTCAAGGCCATTCTGATGAGCTCCAGAGGGAGTGAGGAAAGTGGCACTGGACACTGGAGAAAAGATGATCATTGTTATAAAATGGTAAAAAAAAAAAAATAGCTGAACAGTGTTTGTGTCCAGTGTTTATTGGAAGTGGAATTTGTGAGTGATGAAACTGGATATTTGAGGGAATTTCTTAGTGAAATTGAAGGGGCAGTTTGGCTTTTCTTGACTACCTATGTGAAATGAGAAGAGAGAAATGATTTTAAATATGGAATCATTGATCTGAATGGAAGCAGAACTTAAAGATTTGAAAAAATTCTCATCCTATCCAGGCTATAAAGAACGAAAAAATGTGTTTGGGAGAGAACACCAAGAGTGTGGCCAAGTGACAGTCCCCTAGGAAGTCAGTCATCTAAAACAGAAATCAGACCCTATATCCAAGGCAACCAGGAATGGCCCTGACGGCCATTTGGAAAATATCAGGGCTAAGATAGAGTAGAACAAAGTAAAGCATATGTAACAAACACACTGCTAAAATCAAGGCTGGGAAAATCTAAAGTGATATAGAGAGATTTATTGTTGACTAGAATCCAGGGGATTAAATTTCTTATGAATGCCATTTCCCCCAGAAGTCAGCTGTCTTTGAGATGAGTAGGAAACTTTAATATGCACTGGCTTTCATTGGCCCAGAAGCACCTGCTCAGTCTCAATTTTCTTATTGATCAAATCATTTCCATGTATCCACACTCCAGGATTATGCAGGTTAAATGAGATAAACCATCTGGGGACACTCCTTCCACTAGGAAGAGTCTTATTATCAAGGCACCATAATGGAGGTAGTATGGAATAAAGAGAGTAATCTTGCTTTGAATTCTGACCTATGCTTGTATTCTACCTCCATCATACTTAGTAGCTTAACTTTTTATGAACCCAGGTTCTTCGACTACAAACTGGGTCTTTCTATCTGGCCAGGTTCTATCATGATGCAATGCTGTATCATATGCAAAGAGGCTATTGAGGGTACCAGGAATATAGTAGTCTTCTCCCATTTTGTTGTCTCAAACCTCCAATTCTTTCATTCTCTTCTTTAAAAATGCCAACATAAGGAAACCTTTTGAAACTGAAAATAAGCCAGCTAAGGCCAAATATCAATGAAGGTTGTGCTTCATTAAATTCATTTCCAAGTCATACAATAGTCATTTCTAAGAAGCCATGGGGGGTGGGGGTGCACTGCTCAAGTTAACCAAAGTGCTACCAATGGGGTTTATCATGAGTTCCTCCCCTATTTCTTAACATATCCCATACCTTTCCTCCACCTTCTAACTCCACTAAGCATGGGACATGGCAGTTCAGGGTTGTATTGCTCTGACTGGAGGAATTATAGCTGGTAGATAACTCAGTGTCAGTCACTGAGGCTGATCTTAGTCCTTCCCTAATATCCCTCATCTTGTGAGACAAGATCAACATTACAAAAAATTTGTCTACAGATTGAAAAAAGAAATGGAATCTGGATATGAACCTGCCCCTCAGAAACAAGCCTAGGACATCACTCGTGGCATGTGGATCCTAAGGGTAAACATCCCAGAGACTTCTCAAACTCTTTCTGAAAGCAGTTTCAGTTACTGGGAATGGTAGTTGATAAAACAGAGATCATCCCCAAAGAGAACTCCTCTTGCTTGGTTCTAGGTGGGTTCTGGGAGGTGTATTAGCTAAAAGTCAAAGAAAGGAAAAGAACAGGGATGGACACTCCCTGACTCCTCTTCAGGTTGGAGTCTGTCTCCCCAAACACCAGCACAATGGAAGTAGAGCATATGCTCCTGTCGAACTGAATAGCAAGTAGAGAACAGGATGTGTGCCCTTGTTTATAAACAAAGATCAGGATAAATGTCAGCTGCCAGACCTCAAAGGCAGGCATGATAGACCATTTGAAGAGAGAAGACACAGGCAGCAGAGCAAGCCCTTTGGTCTCCCTGGAGGTCTCCAGCAGACCTTTCCAGGGGCTCCACAGAAGAGCAGGGGAGCTAGGGAGACCAGAGGGAACTGCCTCAGAGCCTTCCTCATGGGCCTGCACTGTCTCCCCTTGGCCAACTCTCAAAGCTAAACCTGCTTGTCACGCACATTGCAGGCCATTGGTGTGTGCTTTGGAGTAGAGAGTTAGATTGATCTCCTAGCAGCAGGTAAAAGGCTAAGCCTCAGTTTCTTCTTCTGTAAAATGAGAATTCCAGTAGTCTACCCCACAGGATCGCTGCCAAGTATACATTAGAACACCCAGCCTTTAGCACATTGCCTGGCTCAGAGCCAGGGCTCGGCAGGTTTAAGTGCTGTTATCATTGTTGCTGTTGATTTCTTTCTGCTTTGTGAAATGACAGCATTTATCACCAGAGCTGGGAGATGTACAGAGCTAAGGCACCATCAGTAGCAAACCAGACATTTTCCAGAGTGGCAAGTAGTGTTTATTTACAGTGACCAAGATGAGAAGCAGCTGTAGGGAAGAAGTGCAAGGGAAGAGCATGTGCTGGGAATGAGGTGACTGTCCCATCTATCAACCTTGCCTCTGGGTCTGCCTCAGACCAGCTGAGGAGCCAGGCCCCAGTGACAGTACAGGGCCACAGGGCTAGCATGCAAAGAGGCCTACTAGCACTTGCTGAGGCCGCAGAGCATCAGAGCTGACACAAAAGGAAGAAGCATGTCCCTTGAGAAACATTCTGAGAAGAGTGCTCCGAAGGGCTGGGAGTTCTACCTCCTAACACCAGTCAAGCTCATTCCAGAGGGTTTGGAGGATGGGACAGGGCAGAGAAGGCATTTGGTTCCTGCCCAGCACCTGCTCTCAGTCGAGAGAACTGTCCTCCTCTAGAAAACTCAGCAGCCACCAATAGGATCCTAATCTAATAGTGCATTAACTGGAATGGCCTCAGAAAACTGAATTTTAAGAAAGCTTGAGCCAAGCAGGGAGGCTTGAGAGGTGCTATTCATTGTCAGCAGGTGTTTTTCCCAATTGAACAATATATATATCTTCCAGCAGGTAAGTACACAAGCAATTCAGGTTAACTAGGTGACCTCAGGAGTTCCCTAACAATAATTGAACTAAAACTAAAATATATGTACATATACGTATCTGGAATATATATATACATATACATATATGGAATATATATATGGGTGTGTGTGTGTATATACAGAAGATTCTGATTAAAATTTGCAGAATACATGGTAACTGTGATGTATTTTAAATTAACTCAGCATCTATTTGTAACTCAGTCTCTCCTTTCTCCCTCTCTCGCTCCCTCCCTCTCTCTCTCTCTCTCATACATATGTATAAATGTACCTACAATGGTAAACAATAGATAACTTCACTTTCAGTCCTTTTAGAAAAGTAATGCAATGACACATTTCATAAATATCTTCTCTGAGAATTGACATCCTGGTTGTTGACCCACAAACTTAGTTTTCTTTTAAAAAGTAGATCTAAAACTTCATATAAACTCACTTTGTTCTTTCCCATATTCCCTTTATGACTTCCTTCTATCACACATGCAGCATATTTTACTTTTACAGCACTCGGGATCTGGTTATGACAAACTCTGCAACAGCTCATTGCATTCACTTTATGGTCTCTTGTCTAGTTTTACTAAGTTATATCCTTTATAAAAGAAGTGCATGAACCCAAAATACATAAATGTCTCTTTTTGTGACCCAGAGGGTGAACATGTAACTGATATTCATGTAACGGACACCTTCTTGATATTTTCAGACTCTGAAAAATGTACGCTGGTGTCTTACAAGAAGTCATTGTTGAACTCATGAAATGTTTAGAGCAGGAACATTGAAAACAAAATGTGACACATAAAGGGGGCCTGTGTTCTCGCAGATCAGCACCTGTGTTTTGAGAGGACTCTAACAAAGGTGAGTGTCTCCATAATACACAGTGCATGCATGCAGACACACACACACACACACACACACACACACACACACACACACGACAAGCTAAAGTCCAGAGCACACAGGCATTAATTCCTCAAGATGGGAGCTCCTTCTCAGCCATGCCTGCCATGGCTGTAATAATATTGGACAACTTGAGGCCTCTCCTCCCCAAAGAAGAAATCATGGGACAGAAAGTCTTCAACAGCAGCACCAATGCTTTCACTAGTCTGGGCTGGTTAACAGACAGAAATCAAATTACTTAAACATTTTGATGATTCTACTGTGTCCAACCTACTGACATTTAACATGAAAATTGTCTTCAGATTATATTCCATGAAAAGCAAAAGGTAAGACTAAGCAATTCTTCTCCTACCTGCTGCTGGAGCCACCAGAAGCCAGGCACTGGTCACAGAACGGGACAGATGTCAGTTTCTTCAGCTCCCTTCCCTGGAACCAGAACGGTCGAAAGAGAACTCTCAGCTGCTCTGAGCAAGCAGACTCCTTCCTCCCTGCCAGCTCTTTCTTATTCCATGGCTTGCAGAGTGCCAGAGCCAGGTAGCCAAGAAAGAATGTTTGGAGAGAAAGGAATTGAGTTTAGGGGATTGGAAGGAGAGGACAGAGGTTTCCCAGGCAAGAGTTAGTTCACCCAACACTCTTCCTTCAAGGAGGAAAGCCCTCTTCCTCCAGCTTCAATTTCTCTTAGGAGAGCTTGCCTCTGCATTACTCATGTAATTGCTACACGGCCCCTTCACAAACAGCAGACATACTTTTTGGGCAGGCCTCCAGATTTCTGATGCATGCCTATACCTGTCAGGAGGGATATCACTGGGCCTGGGAAAATTGAGAGAGCAGCATATCTGCCCAGGGGAAAGGACCCAGACTAGACTATTAATCAAATTCTTGGAATGAAATATGCCCTAAAAGGACAGCCGGGGCTGGCATGAGATTTTCTGTCCATAGGGTGTCCACCTCACTCATGGGATCACCTGGTTAGGGCTCAAAACTCTTCCAAGTAGATCAGCAGCCACACTTGGTCAAGTTTTGACTTGTTTCCCCAAAGAGGAAAGGAGCAGCAGGGATTACTATCACAGGAGGAATGTGGTTTTCTTACCCTGAGAAGTCAATGTAGGAGAGTCAAAGATGATGAATGTGTAATTACAGATTCTTTAAAGCTTAATATGAAATATAGTGTTGAAGAAGACATTTCAACAATAAGGCAAGGATTGTAGAAGCTTCCATGTTTTGTTCATTACTGGTTTCCAAGAAGGTGGAGATATCACGGTAGAGAAGAAAAGACAGCAGAGAAATTGGGACATCTTGGCTCTACTCTTGGCTATCTGTGTGACCTTGGATACGTCACTTCACCCTGGGTTCCAAATAAGTGCAATGAGAAGACTGAGCTGGAAAATCTGCATAACACAATACCATCTTTCACCATTATATCTATGCCCCCTTATTCTTGTATCCAAAGTTTGCTTTTTTTTAGGTAATCATCTTTTCCTCTCCACTGGTTTGGATGAGGTTTTACCATTCCCAGACATCTTCATAAGTGGACATGTGGCCAAGTTCAAACAACCAGAGTCATTGTGATAGATTCAGAGGTGGGTTTCTGCCCATCAGAGTCATTCCTAGACTTTTTGTTGGGAAAAAGGAAGACTCCTCCTGCTGCTGCTGCCAATCACAGAAGCAGAGCCCAGAGCTGGCATGGTTATCCTAGAGAAAGAGGAACTGTCTTGAAGATAGAGCCATGGCAGGAGGAAGCACATCTCAGAGACAGTAGGAGAGTAATGCTTGAGAATGCGATTGAAGAGTTGGATTCTGTCATGGCTGACACAGCATTTGCCTTGGATTTTTTTTTTTTTTAAATGTTCTTTCTCATCTTGAACCCAATTAGGTTTCTGATTCCTACCCTGAAAAACTTTCAGTTAATAAAATCCTTCCTACTGCCCTCAACATTTAACACCACTGCTTTTTAACATTTATATCTACAACAATGTGGGAGGTATAGGGATATTTAGGGACAATAAATGAGTTTCCTTTTGATTTACTCTTGGCAATGTTTTTAAAAGGCTATGCCTGCACAGCAGAGAGGTGTAGGAGTAATATAGATTTTGGTGAAAGATTTTTAAATTCTTTACTCTTTTCTCTGAATATAGTTCTTTGTTCAAAATTCAAATAATATGTACAGGTAAAATATATGAAGTATAAATCACCCACTATTCGAATGCTCCCAAATAACCACAGATAACATTTTGGTGACTTGCTATTAAAATATGACCCACAGAGCAGCATCAGCAACCTAGAGCTTGCTCGAAATGCAATTGTCTTCCAATTTGAGCACCTATCAGATCCATTGGGAGGTCATATTCACAACTGCCAATCCACACCCAGAGTTTCTGGTTCAGTAGGTCTGGGGCGAGGCCTAAGAATTTGCATTTCTGCTAGGTTCCTGGGAATACTGCTGCTGCTAGCTCCAGAACATTTTTAACAGTATTTCAAAAAAATAAAAGTGGTTTTACCCTATGTATATAAACCTGAAACTTGCTTTTTTCCCTCTTCATTACTGTATCTGGGGCAGCTTTCCATACCATCCGTGTGACATTACATCATCCTTTTTTTAAAGAGCTATGAGGTCAGATATTGCTGGCTGATATGTCATATATGTTACATGCTGAAAAAATAAAAAAGAATGAAATTTTCAGCATCTTCAAGGTAAGGACCCAGGATCAGTATCCTCAGCAACAGAGTCACCATTTTTAAATAAGCATCTTGCGATAGAATCTAAAGAAAGCAAACTATATAAACTGACCAGGAAAGAGATATGCAAGTGCACATTAAGACCCAAGCATGAAACAAAATTTGGTTCCTTTGGGAGCTATTCTAGTCTTTTTTTCTCTCTGTATTCAAAGTAGCAGTTTTGATAACAATTATACAGCAAGAACATCACACATACATCCCTGCAGAGCCAGTAAAAGAAAGCACTGATGCATGGAACACACACAGCAATTTCACATGGGAATCTTTGTACAGAGCTGCTCTACCACACTTCATACTGCTAATGCTTAGTAGTCAGATACCCCACCTCATCCATGTAGACTCCTGGAAAGAAAGTGATTAAACTTGCAAATATAGCTAGAACTCAGAGTAGTCCAACAAGAATCAGATCTGGAAATTTAAGGCAATTACTGACAAGTACATGAACATGCTTCTTGGAAATTCTTCTGATTGACAGTAGAATGCTTTCTAGATGTCTTCCATCGTTAAAATCTCAGGGATCAAACTCCCTCACTTCAGGGAAGTTAACTGGTTGAAAACTCCCTTAGTTAGAATTATAGAGCCATAAAAAGAAAAAGAAAAAATACACACACACACACACACACACACATTTTCTTCTTTGGATGAGTCACACTCTTGCTTTATAGCCACATAGGTGATCACCATTAAAGGATCATATGAGCAGAGTCACATATTGAAGAGTAGAATGCAGAAATTAGAAATATTAAGGAGCCACATATTGCATTAGAATAAGCCACATATTGGTCTTGATTTGGTCAGTCATTCATTTTAAAGTCTGCCAGAAATATCTCATTCTACTCATAAGTGTTTAATAAGCCTATATCTGCCTTGTATTATGTTCAAACATTAGGTTGTTCGTGAGTGGAATATGGAGTAGAAAGGATATATCATCAAGGAATCTAGTTTGGGATACAGATAAGAAAATCAAGGATTAAGCAGGCACATGAGGGGTACTGGTGAAGGGTACACCCAACCCAGCTGACAGCCCATCAGAAATGGCTTCCAAAGTGAAAACAGGCCTTGAGATAAGGATGGAGAGATATGAGTCAGGCAGGCTTAACAGCATGTTAAGCCAGAAATTATAAGCAATACATTCCAAGGTGTGGAGGTGAGGAGGAGCAAGGCAAGCTCGGGACACCATCAGAGCCTGCATGTGACTGGAGTGCGGCATCTGAGTGAAGCCATGAGAAAGGAGACAAGTAGAAGTCTGCTGAGGCATCAGATTTAATCACACAAGGGTGCACTGAGCAGGTTTTTATCTATAAAGACCCTGTCAGCAACATGGAGACTGGGAACAAGACCAGAGCTAGAGAGCCTTAATGCGAGGCTCTTACAGTGTCTGGGGAGCAGTGAGAGAGCCAGGCACTGGCTGTGGGGAGGAGACAGGAGGGATTCAGGGACATTTAGACAAGGGTTGATGACTGGTTGCAGGCAGTGGTAAGGACAGGGAGAAACCCAAGGGGACGCCGGGGTTATGGTTAGGTGTTTAGGTGGTTGATGGACAAGAGAGAAAATGTGGTGCAAAGCATTTTGAACAGAATTAAGTTAGAGGGTAGGAATGGTATGAGAAGACAGACCCTCAAACAAGAGTGTTATGAATCGACGTCTGTCTTATCAATAAAAGCATAAACCTGCTCATACAGTGAACAATTTAAAAGATCCCTATTGTGGGTTGAACTCAACCTCCTGAGTTGCTGGGATTACAGGGTTGTGCCACCATGTCCAGCTCAGCTTCTCCCTCTTTTTAAGATTATTTTTTGTAGTTAACTCAAAATGGATCAAGGAGCTTGATAGCAAAACAGAGACTCTGCGTCTGATAGAAGAAAAAGTTGGCTCCAATCTACATATTGTGGGGTCGGGCTCCAAATCCCTTAGTAGGACACCCATAGCACAAGAGTTAATAACTAGAATCAACAAATGGGACTTACTCAAACTAAAAAGTTTTTTCTCAGCAAAAGATACAATAAGAGAGGTAAATAGGGAGCCTACATCCTGGGAACAAATCTTTACTCCTCACACTTCAGATAGAGCCCTAATATCCAGAGTATACAAAGAACTCAAAAAATTAAACAATAAGAAAACAAATAACCCAATCAACAAATGGGCCAAGGACCTGAACAGACACTTCTCAGAGGAGGACATACAATCAGTCAACAAGTACATGAAAAAATGCTCACCATCTCTAGCAGTCAGAGAAATGCAAATCAAAACCACCCTAAGATACCATCTCACTCCTGTAAGATTGGCAGCCATTCTGAAGTCAAACAACAACAAGTGCTGGCGAGGATGTGGGGAAAAGGGTACACTTGTACATTGCTGGTGGGACTGCAAATTGGTGCAGCCAATTTGGAAAGCAGTATGGAGATTCCTGGGAAAGCTAGGAATGGAACCACCATTTGACCCAGCTATTGCCCTTCTCGGACTATTCCCTGAAGACCTTAAAAGAGCGTACTACAGGGATACTGCCACATCGATGTTCATAGCAGCACAATTCACAATAGCTACACTGTGGAACCAACCCAGATGCCCTTCAATAGATGAATGGATAAAAAAAATGTGGCATTTATACACAATGGAGTATTACTCTGCACTAAAAAATGACAAAATCATGGAATTTGCAGGGAAATGGATGGCATTAGAGCAGATTATGCTAAGTGAAGCTAGCCAATCCCTAAAAAAACAAATGCCAAATGTCTTCTTTGATATAAGGAGAGCAACTAAGAACAGAGCAGGGAGGAAGAGCATGAGAAAAAGATTAACATTAAACAGGGACGAGAGGTGGGAGGGAAAGGGAGAGAGAAGGTAAATTGCATGGAAATGGAAGGAGACCCTCATTGTTATACAAAATTACATATAAGAGGATGTGAGAGGAAAGGGAAAAAAATCAAGGGAGAGAAATGAATTAC